TAGAATTTGATTTGAAAGATTGTAATAGGATGAGAACCTAAAGCAACGCGGAATCAGATGTGGAATCCTCAACCTCTAGAATTTGATTTGAAAGATTGCAATAGGATGAGAACCTAAAGCAATGCGGAATCGGATGTGGAATCCTCAACCTCTAGAATATCGTGTTGACCATTGTAAAGCAATGCGGAATTGGATGTGAAATCCTCAACCTCTAGAATATCGTGTGGACCACTGCTAAGCAATGCAAAATTGGATGTGAAATCCTCATCTTCTAAAAATGTCGCGTTTCGAATTGATGGGAAACTAGTAGAATTTATGAAGATTGACATTGGTGAGGAAAAATTGTGAAACTTTATGAGATTTTGTGCAGAATGTGAATTTCGTGGGGATATGAAGAAAATTGGTGCAGAACAAGGTAGTTTGAACTAGAATAGAAGCTAGATTAAATGTTTGGACTATTGATGCATCTGAACAATGGTAGAAGGAAAGATTAGAAGTGAAATTGTGTTTGCGGATAAGTATTCCACATAATTTTGTTAACCATTCAATATATCAACATTTATTAATGTGCATCACTTGTAGGTTATGTCAAACATGGAACAAAATTAAATTTAGTGGCATTGACCCGAAATTAGAAAAAAAGCTAGATTAAAGTTCGGTGGAGTTGTTGCCTCTAATGACCATGCATGGACCCCAAGTTAAAAACCGAGCATTAATCTATCTGAACCAGCAGATTTTGAGCATAAAGCCGACTCAAGTGAATGATCCATTCATACTGTCACCAAATGTGTTGAATCTAGCCATTCAAAATTGTAGTCATCTTTATGGCCTAGTGGTGGAAGAAAGAATAAAGATGACACTGCTTTCTTACGAAATCAGATTTCTCAGCTTATTTATGCATGTAGTAGTATTCCCTCTTAGCCTATTGGGTCACTTGCACCACCATCATTTATTCCAAATGTTATAAAAATATTAGAAGAAACTTCAGAAATTTATGAAGAGATATATTTGCATTATTATTCCATGAAATTTTATATCAGAAGAATTTCCTTAAGAGATTTTTTTTTTTTTTTTTTTTTTTTTTTTTTTTTTTTTTTTTTTTTTTTTTTTTTTTTTTTTTTTTTTCGGGCTAGTTTTTCAAACAGAAAAGGGTGTGAGTCACTTCCTCTTCTCACCTCGATAATGAGATGGCAATGGTAGTTTAGCGGTGATCTTCAAAACATCCTCTTCATGGAGGGCAGCGGACAAGGTTTCCTCTCAAAAGAGGTGAGGTCTTAGGTAGTCCAGCCTCCTCAATTGATATTTACATATCTAACACATAAACCTGAAAAAAAAGATTCATATGCAACACAATCTTATGTATTTATATATCTAACACATAAACTTTGAAGTTTTATGACTATTTGCATAGCTCCCAAAGATACAACACATCAACTACAGATAAATAATTCCTGGGGCAGCAATAAGAAGCATGTCCTGTCGAATAATAATTATGAATATCTGTTTCTATACCTAAAATTTTCATTTCACCTTTCTACAACACCAAAACTTTTGAATTTTCAAGTTTTCACAAACATATACACCAGAACTTTTGAATTTTCACAAAAAAATTATATACAAATTTCAGGTTTTCAGGACAAACTTCATATAAATGAAAACATAGAGCTTTCAGATTCTTTAAAAAGAAACGAGAGCATTTAAACTTCAGATTTCCACAAAGCAAAGCAATAGACATTTCTGATTTCTCCCAATGAGGCTTTTAAGCTTTCCAAACTTTCACATGCTACAATTATTTCCAAATTTCTCAAACCAAAACACATAACTTTCAGATATTTGCCAAAACGAAGGGATTGAAACTTTGCATTTTTATAAATAAAGCTAAAGGTCATTTCAATTTTTTTTTTTTTTAATTGTAACCATCATGATGAAACCTAAGCAAGCAACTGCTTTCAAGATTCAAAATGATCAATAATTGCTAGACAAATGTGTGTTACAAAATTTGGATGGATAAAATTATCATGGCGGATGGCCCGGATTTTACGAAAAAACAATAACAATGTCCATTGCTTAGAATCTTTCATATCACCAAAGAAATACCACCAAAAAACAAATAAAATACACCATTTTATGCATAGGGTAAGGTGGCATGTACGTAAAAATTGGGAATTAGGTGTTAGGTATGTAAATAAATAAGAATTGGGTGGTATGTTTGCAAACCCCCCTCCCTCTGAATATCCTAGGGTAGGCCAACCATTGTTTGCATATAGCTGCCATGAATTATCTCTATGTTTTATATAGTAATAAAACAATGTGTATAGCAAAAACTGATAAAATTTCTGCACATAGCAAGCCTACTGCGAAAGTGGAGAAACTTTCTACTAATTCACGAATTCACTTGCAAGCGTTACATACTTGTGTTGCAAAATAAAAAAACTCCAAATCCGAAATTTCACACCACAAAAGGAGTTGGTACATTTCAAACCTCAAAAATTTTAAATTACATATGAAAGCAGCAAAGTTTTTAAATTTTCCACAAATGAAAACATCAATAGTTTTCTAAATTTTCACAAATGAAAGCAGCAAACTTTTTATAACTGTTCATACAAATACCAACAGCACTTCATCCATTAATTTCATTCCTCAACAGCACTTCATTTATTAATTCCATTCCTCATCCTCTCCCACCTCAAACACAAAGACCCGATAACTATCCCAGCAACCAAAAAATTAAGGGGCTCCTACATATGCATATTACACAATTCTTATATATTTACATATCTAACACCTAAACATTCATGTTTGCATGCATACCACACAAATATTTAACATCATATCAAAAGCACTGCCAAAGATTTGTGTGGTATGCAAGCAAACATGTAGAAAACCAAGCATAGTTCATAAATTCCCGGAGAAAACTTCTGAAGACCTTTCTTAAATATTAACTCAATACTCATGTTGGGAGAATAAAAACTGGAAGTAGCCTGCAAAATGTATCTAAGGAAATGATTGATAGATAAATATAGAAATAATGACTAAAGGCTCACCAAATAATCCATTTTTATACATTTATATAATGACAGATATAAGAATTTACCTTAAAATTTCTTTAAATAGTGATGCGAGAGTTGCAGTAATTTTTCTTGAAATACAGAACTTTAGCAGAAAAAAAATGAAGATCTTTCTTAACTTAAGTAATGCAACTCCTACCAAGTTGGTCGCTTATCATTTCAGTGGAAAACAAATCAAAGTTCAGGCATCAAATGAATATTAAAATCTAAAGTAAACATGATTTATCATCCATAGCAAATCTAAGAAGGCAAATGTGGCACCATATAAAAGCAACCTTTGAACTACAAATTGAACTTCATATCGCAATATCAAAAACATATTTCCCAGGAATCAAACTAGATAAAAGAGAACAGCGTAATAAATAATTATAAAGTTTACAAAAATCAGAGTAAGCAATATTTCTAATAATATTCAGCTAATGAGTTCTAAAATTCTCCATTCATAGGCATGCTATCTCATCAACTATTCGTTCCCTCAGCTCTGCCATCTCGCTTGCACCTTCCCCATCTACAGTGAAGGCGATGGAAGCCTCAGTCTCCTCTTCGGTGAAAAACTGGCCTAGACGGTATTCAAATGTTTCCGAAGGCACATTTTCTTCATCCAATTCCGCCAAATGGAAGTCGATATCGCTACGGGAATGATGTCTTCTTATGTAATTATGGAGAGCCATTGTAGCAAAGACAATCTGTACCTGCTTTGAAAAATTATAAGGAGGCATATCACGGAGTATAACCCATTTCTTTTTCCAGACACCAAAAGTTCTCTCAATTACACCACGTAGCGATGAATGTCGTTTATTAAATATTTCATTTCTTCCTCGTGTAACGTTACTTGCACGTGCGAAATCTGGTATGTGATATCTCGTATCAGGAAATGGTTTTAAATACCCTCGTTGCATTGGATAACCAGCATCAACCAAGTAATATTTGCCTAATAAATGGAACAATTAGTAAGGAGATTCAAGTTTCTATTGGGATTCCCAAATAATATTTGCATAATAAATGAAACAATTCGTATGATTTCAATATGAAGCGTACCTGCAGGTGGATGTGGAAAGTTGCTTTTGGGATCCCGTGTCGCAGATTTGAAAATTCGACTGTCATGTGCGCTGCCCTCCCAGCCAGCCATAACAAAAGTGAAACACATGTTAAAGTCGCAGACGGCCATGACATTTTGGGTAGTGCTACCACAACGGCCTATAAATGCTACTTTATCACTATTTGGTATACGTGCGTCAACATGTGTTCCATCAATCGCACCAATGCAGTCCTAATGAGTGAATGTTAGGTTTAACATAATATTTTAAAAACTCTTACAAAGTTAACTATAATGCATCCGAGAGAATACCTTAAAAAAGGGCATATATCGTGCGTCACGTGCTATCTCAGCGGGTATATGCTCAAACTTATAATCTGAGGCTCTGATGACATGAGAGGACAGACTAACAAGTGCGCTCAATCCGATTGAGAAATATCTGCTTATTGTTTCTGATGAGTGTTGAAATCGCTCCATTGCTCCTCGCATAGACTCATTTTGGGATAATATGAACAGTGTTATTGCGAGCACCTCACGTGGATTGGTTCTCGAAGATCCATGAAGACCGTGAGATCCTACGAGTAAGTCCAGAAGATCGATAAATATTGCCTGAGTCATTCGAAACATATTACAAAATCGTGTTGGGTGCCCGGCAAGCAACTCTCCAACCCATTTGTCGCCAATATAAGAAGATGTCATGCATGGCGACCGATCAATATACGTGTTATAGTATTCGTATATCAAACATATTGCTGTCAGAAACATTCCTCTCTGTTTTCTTCTGCGTGTATCCATGTGGGTCTCCATCCGTCTTTTTCTATCTGCATTCATAGTGTTTGGTTTCCCTAAATGTTTTCCCTAAACAATTATAATTTATATGAGAGTTGGTGACAATAAAAATAAAACAATGTTTGCAAATAAATAGAAAGGTACAACAGAGTTCACAAGAATAACTCCAGAAAAAAAATAGATAAAGCAGTGCAAATGTTCTAGTGATGAAAAATATTAAAAATATCAATTGTTCAAACGATTATAAAAACGCCGAATATATGCCAATCTGCGTGCGGCAGGCATCTGCACAAAGAAATCCCTACGGACCGGGTCCTCTAGCAATTCTGCTGCAAACAAATACAACTCCTCATCTACATAAATTTCGGCTGTAGCACTTAGGATTTCAAGGGCCTCCGCGATAGTGCTTGAATGAGAAGTCTGACATTCTGATTTAAAACAAGAAACCGCATCGGATAGCTCTTTTCTGAGGGAAGAAGCACCAGATTTTCTTTTATCAACAACCTTAGGACGTTTGGAACGCGAAATGTTTTCATATTCGTTCTGATCTGGGCTGGGGACGTCAATGAAATCAACTGAACCTCCAGGGGTTCCCAAATTCACGACATTGCCAGTGAACCCTGTCTCGTTTGGGCTACATGCATAGTTCCCAGTTGCAACCACTCCCCCAAACATGCGGTCAAGTTTGTCCTCAAATTCAGGCTCAATTCCTGAAAGCTTAAACTTCTTTGCAGCAGGAACCACCTACACAGAAATTGATATACACCAAATTAGAATAAAATATAATGTAACATAATGAAGAAGTTTACAAACAAAGCTCACCGCAAGTCTTTCAGCCCACCATTCCTCAGATGCATCAATTGTTCGCTTCACTGGATCCCAACCAATGCCGGTACAACCCTTTTTTAATTCCTTCCAAATTTTCCATTCCTTTTTCATTTGGTCCCACTTATTCTTCATTTGCAATCTGTCATATTCTCTGCCTGTGCATTCCTTGAATTTTTTTATAATATTTTGCCACCCTTCTTTATTGAAATGGGTCGTTGGTCGATTTCCACGTTCAATCTCTTTAAGACAAAGATCACAAAATATCATTTTCGTATCTTTTTCCCACAATGCGTGTGTAACAACCTCTTTAGGCTTACTATCCATGTTATTACTATAACAAAACAAAGTCATGAAACACAACAGTAAAATTAATTAGAAAGTAAAATAAAGTAAAGTTTAGGTGTTACAACAACGACCCATTGACTGCTCACTAAACTACTAAATAAAAGTATGTCGAGCAATCAAAATAAGAAAAAAATATAATGACACCAGTTGCTATTGTGAGAAATGGTTCAAGAAATTTCAAAAGAACAGAAATAAGGTAAAGATAAGTAAACTACAGGCTAAATACAATTTTAAGGGAAACTGGCAAATCAAATGCTTTTAAACTGAAGATAAAGATACCTTAGAAATGGAGAAATGGATAATGTAATAAGAAAACTTATTAAAAGTATGTTATAGCTTGTTATTATAGAAATGTAGGATTTTCTGGAATACCCTTCCTGTTGGACATCTAGCTTTTTTTTTCCCAGAATTCTCATGTCCATAAAGATGCAACAACAACTTAAAAAAAAAGATAAAATAAGAAATTAAATTGCCTAATTTGTAGGATTACTACAGGCTGAGAATCAGTTGCCCGTGCCCTCTGGCATCCTATTTTTTGCACTCCAACAAAGGAAATTTGGCCCCTTCTGCTGTCAAGCAACCACCAGCTACTAGAATCTACTATCGCCCACTTATGGAAAGTCATCAAAGATTTTTTTTTAAGTTACGGCATCAAATATGGCAGAATCCTAGACTTCACTAAAAACAGCTTCCCACTCAATATCTCCAAAACAGGGAACTCCTTCTCAGACACAAGATAACAATGAAAAACAAAAAACTGAAATTTACTTGCAAGAAAAGGAGTAATATAGGGCGATCACCTATTCAAGGAAACATTCACCCTTTCTATAAAATTTATGCAGATACATCAACTGCAGATGGAAACCTGGATTGCGACGAAGAAGGGACGGAGATGGAAGGATTGCTAGGGCAAGTTTGAAACCTGGATTGCGACGAAGAAGGCGCGGGACGAAATGGAAGGATCTCCGAACCAGGATTGCGAGGAAGAAGGCGCGGGACGCGCGGGACGGCGATGGAAGGATCGACTGGTTCGAAACCTTGATTGCGACTCGGCTTCGGTTAGGACGGCGAAGGTTTCAAAATCCAGGATATCGGAACCTGGATTTCGTGGCGCAGGCGGAAGGATCGCGAGGGCTGGGAAGCGGGGGCGGAAGGATCGCGAGGGCAATTTAGAATATTTGGAGGCGAAAGCTCGGGCCGCAGGGTCGATAGCAGGGTCGATACCGCGGCCCGCTTTCCGCCCGCTTCGGCTTCGTTCGGCAGCGAAGCTGGTAGCCAAACAGTAATATATCGCGGTTATGGGCCGCAAAGCGCGAAAAAAGCGGCCCCCAAACGAAGCCTTAGTTTCCTTATTCACTTGGAAAAGGGTAAAGAAAATGCATGCCCATATTTTTCACAAATTTATTTAAATATTCTAGTTGTTCTACACTTACACTAGCTACTAGTTTCATTACAAGGGGAGGGAATTTTTTCAATAACTTGTACTTTCCCGCTTCTCTTAACTAAGTGTAGTTAGCTTGTTAGTAAAGTTAGAGGTTTAGATGTAGATTAGTAGCATTCTCCATCTTACATTGAAAATTAAACTTATTTCCTAGCTAAGGCAAATTAATTTCTGTTAGAACTTTTCTTAAGTCTATAAAATTTATAGCCTTCTGATCCACCTTAAAATTACATGACACCAAAAATATAGTGCATATTTTATGATCGTTTTATGCATATTTTTAATGATATTGCATTTTAAAGGAATGTATTTTGTATGTTTTTGGTTTCAGGTACATGGAATGGACATTTGGAGAAAATAAGGAAAAAAATGAGCAAAAAAGACGCAAATTGTATGGCGTCATAGCGCTACCCAGCACTATAGCGCCACAGACGCGTGTAGTAGGCGCTATTGCGCCCAGATTGGCACTATAGCGCCCAGATTGGCACTATAGCGCCAGTAACTTCCCTTCTAGAAGATCCATTGAATTTAACCAAATTTTGAAGGGGTGTTTGAAGCAACCCTGGGTTATTTTCAGAGATCTATTAATATGGAATAAAGAAAATTTTGGTAGCATTTGAAGGCGTCAGGATCTGGCACCTAGGCGCCGGGTATGTAAAAAGGATGTTCAGAGGGTTGGCGCCTAGGTGCCACAATTGGGCGCTAAGCACCAGAAAAGTGTTGTACTTTTGTACAATGAATTTTGAAAAATTTTGAAGAGGTGTCTGAAGCGACTCTTAGCAATTTTAAGAGCTTTATTTAAAGGAACAATTGGCTAGTCGAAACAGGCTTTTAGACAGGGGTGGCGTGAAGGCTTTTGGTGGTGAAGAGGGGGCGTGAGGCTCGGGAGTGAGTGAGAGTCATTGTAGTATGTGTTTTGGTGTGTCTACTGGAGTAAGATGTCTAAGGAATTTCAAAGGATTTGCTTGAGGAGAAGTCTCAGATAAGTACTTTGTATTTATGTTTTATTTTTTGTTTTATTGTGAAGACTAAACTTTAATATAAAATCATGTTTTGTTGTGTTATCCCCATAAATTCTGAGTATTTTCCAGCATCCTTCTCCTTGCAATAAGAAGTAATCATGTGTAGGATTAGATTTGTTTAAGGTTTCTCTTATTTCATACTTGTTATGATTTATTACGTTGTACTTCATTGACAACTTCAATCTGGCCAATTGGAATGTTAAAACATGTTGTGAATCCATAATGACCTGGGAGGACTATGTGTTCCTCAACTAGTAAGAATCCATAATTTTGATTTGGAACCTAAGGACCAGTTAGTCCTATAAAGGGGGCACAATAGGTAATCTGGAAGTGAGAGACTAGAATCTATCCAGCATAACTTGTGATTTAGGAACTTACTCTAAGTTAGTCAAAGTTCTTTATGCTCTCGGAAGAGGTTAAAGAAATAGGTATGCTCGTATTTGACACAAAACTACATTTTAACTTTTAAGCATTTAATTCATATACTGATTGTTATCTCTTTGCAAGAGGAAATAACTTATACATAATTAGATCACTTCTTTATAAAACTAGTTTAGACACTTTGCATTTTCTTTATGCTTTGAAATAGAATTAGTATGAATTTAGAAACTTTATTTTACACCTAAACTTGCTACCATATTTACCTAATATTTTGTTTGCATTTTAAGTAAAGTTTTACTAAGTCTATAAAAAGAGTTTTGGATAAAAAAAGTAATTTCACCTTCCCTATGAGATTGATACCCAGGTATTAAAAGAAAATTGTATATTACTTGAAACGATGCGTATACTTGTTTAGTGCCCCTAGTGTGTAGACCATTAATCAATTTCTAAATTTTAAAGCATATCGATTGTACACTCTAGCCTCTAAAATATATTCAGTCAAGTTTTTTGCTATCTTTTGGAAACAAAATATCTGCATAATTGTGGGTCGGGTCATCAGACGACTATGTTGATTTTAAGTCAGCAACATGCTAAGTTTATCATGATGCCTTAAATTTTGGCTGCTGACCAGGCAAAGACATCTCAATGTGCTTGGAGAGTCTGGATCAATAAATCTTTGTGTTTTGTAACCAAGTTCTTGCTAATTAGAAAAAAAATTATCAGGTTCGTCGAGGGTAGCGGGATCATGATTGTAGTTTTATTGGTTTTGAGACCCTTATCATTGGTGTTGGTTGTCAAATAATTTATGCTCCACACAACTGACAGCTTGGAGTTAGCATGTCTGAGACTGCTCTAAATTACCACGAACAATTCCTGTCCCACAAAAACTTCACCGCAAAGAGGTAGGTGGATGCCACTACTATAAAATTATTAAGCAGTGGGGCGACCGAAGATTGCGTTGTTGGTGGGTTGTGCATTAACCACAAAAGTTCCTCCATGTAAGTAATTTGACCACCATCTTCTTCTGAAGTGACTATCAACCCAATTATACCTAAGGCATCCTTTCATTCGCTGAAAAACTCGTACAATGGCTCGGTCAGGAAACCAAACAATCGACTGACAAATCCATTTTCTTAAAAGTTGTTTTGAATAGTATGTTCCATGAATTGCATTTATCATTCAAGATACTACCTACCTAGTAGTTATTAAGCATTTCTGTAATGATTATGACATTGTTGTAAGGCTCTCCACTCGGGGCCAATCCACATGAGTAAGGAATAATTGGGTGAAGAGGCTTTGACTTCAAAGTGTAAGCAACAACACAATATTCCCCTTCTCTGAGCCTTTTAGGGTTGATTTTTCTGACAGGATCTCCACCCAGTATAGTCGTCACTATTCTGATGATGTGGATAGTGTTTTCTTGGACAAGCTCATCTAATTGATCTTTTGTAGAGTCTTTTCCCTGCCTCTAGGTTTGTGCTTCGGTGACCACAAACTCCTTCAGTTATTCGACACAAATCAATTCTTCACCAAACTTTAAAGGAGTCTACATTACTTCATGTCATGACTATGGTCCTTATTTTACTTTTAATGTATGTTGGTGCTCCAGAGGAAAGCTCTGGCTCTCTTCAGAGGAGCCTTTCTGAAGTACTCCTTATCCTGAATATCTTCCACCTACTTTGCCATTAAAACCCTCAATTGAGTGGGTTTCATTTTCCCCCGATCGTTACTTGATCAGGACTTTGATTGCCTCCATCTTCATGATTTTTTTTAGGCCTCTCTGTCACTTTGATATAAATGTCCTCTTTCTTGTTTTGGGTGAGGGCCATCCTTTTCCCTCTAACCGTCATCTTGTGTGCCCTTTTTCTATGAGTGATGATCAAATATTTTTCTATTTTGTATAGGCAGATAGGCATATTCCTTTGTCATGATATAGTTGTTGACCAGTTCTAGGGAGACTTTCATTCAGGCTCTGCTTTGCTTGTCATATGGACTTTAAATCATTGTGAGGCTTTTGGGCACTGCGAACTAAGCCGTGAATGACTTATTGAACTCACCGAAGGAAGTCATAGTTTCTACTAGGAAGCCATTGAACCACCTGGGGTTTCAATTCGTCAGTATGGTGTAGAACAACTGACATTTTAATGCGTTGGAAACCTTGAGAAGACGTATACCAGACTCAAAAGATGAAATTTGATTGCCTGGATCGCTCTGACTCTAGTTAGATTCCAAAGATGGAACTGTGATCTTTTCAAGGGGTTCCACATCAATAACCTGCTGGGAGAATGCATTCTCCGGTCGTTAGTAGACTTCCATTCACATTGCTTATGGTATGTTCCTTGGAATGGACCTAACACTGTCTTTGTAATGAGATTCTTCAACTCGTTTGAATCCCTGAGTTGTCTAATGGCCTTGGAGTTCAAATACTCAAAGATTTAATTTTCGAGGAGCCTATGCTCTCTGCTCAAGTACAATACATTTCACTTATGTCATTTTGTCCCACTATTTGATCTTGGAGTTCCTGAATTTATTGTTGCACAAATTCCGGAACTGTCTATCTCGTGTTAAAAGTATGCGTAAATGGATTTCCTTTGACACACTCATCTTTTTGTTGGCGACATCACTCCATGCTCACCACACCTTTTAGGATGTTGAATCCAAAATTGTCCCGTGGATCATGTCCAATGAATGAAGCATTGGACGAATGTGATGAATAGAGAGCGGAAGAGAAGTAGAATGCCAATAACACAATGTTTCTCATAATAGCTCTAGTAGTCCCTTCTTGAAGAATTGACCACCAATTTATAAATCATAGGGTGTGTCTTGTAAATTACATATTTGTCCTTTTTTTTAATTGAAACGTCATAAGTAATTAATATATTGTTACACCTTTACAAATATGTAATTGATTCCAAGATCCTTTAATATTTGTAACCATTGTTGGCATAATTTTGTACTGATAACTATTTGAAGTGGGGTATTAGTGTCTCACTGATGTTAGCATTCGGTTAACTTATAATCATTCAATTAGTTATAAGGTCTTCGACTGGTTTTCGGTTGGTTGGAAGGTCTTCAGTTGGCCTTCTGGAAAGAAATCCTCTTAGAGACCTTCTTATCATTCAGGCAGCTGGTGCGTCACGGTAATCTGATAGTTAGCTCTCCTTCAGACAAGTAGTCTTCACAGAAGATTGGAAAGATGTCCTAGGAAGCGACCAACGGTTCTATTTGTGAAGGAATCCATGATCGATTGAAGGAGTTGATTACACACAACTTTCCCCCATATCAGATGCATAATGTGCCTTCGCTCAGTTGTGCTTTTCTACGATTAGCTTAAGATTTTGATTGAATGAAATAACGATTGACGTTT